CGCGACAAAAAAAAAAAAAAAAAACCTTGCCAAAAGACAGTGCTGAGGACAAGCTACTCCCCGGCTGTAACACCTCTGTGTGTTCCTTGCTCTCAGCAATGCTGGGAGGTACGAAACGTTAAAGCCACACACAGACATGTATGTACACACACACACATACACACCTGAAGGGCAGATCTGAAATGCAAATTTTTAATTCCTACAGAAACGCGGGCTTTGCAGCATGTAGGCTGGGGCTTTGTACAGAGTAACGACTTAAATGTCATTTTTGTATCCATTCGAGATGTGCGATGCCTGTAAGCTGTTAGCGGGATCAGCCAGGTTTATGTTTTTGAGGAAAAAAAAAAACAAACACAAACAACCTTCCCTCAGCAACCAGCCTTCTGTTTTAGTTGGAGGCAATCTCACACTAAACCAAGGCAAACGTTTTTACACACAGATATTTTAAGGGAAAAAAAAATTGTATTTGTTAGAGAAGCAGTGTTTTTCAGCACGCATTAATCTTAAATAATAGGTGAAAGAGGCCTAAATTCCACCTTCGAAACCACTTCAAATTAGATATATTTTTGTATTTAAATTTAGACAAGGCACTCTGTGCATCAACTATTCGGTGAAAAATCTGTTGGAAAATTTCATAAAAAATCCCCTTGAAACATTTAAAAATATTTCAAAACCTGATCTACTGCAGAGACCAGAAAGTTAATTAAATGTGATGCACGAACGACAGCTATAGGGCTTTGTTTGCTTCTTTCTTGGAGTTTTTTTGGTGGGTAGGGGAAGAGAGGCTTCCTTTTCTTTCTTTAAAAGAGAAATCCATCTTCACCCTGTCCTACAGCTGGAACTGAAGAGACAGTGAGTAAACCTGTGACAGGGAGGCTGGCTTCAGCCTGCTCCTGCCAGGCAATCCAGAAGGACTTTCTGACCAGAAACCTACCTGTTACACCCTGTTTTTAAAGGGCTCAAAGAGAGGTGCAGAATACACTGTTTCCGCTGTCAGGAAGGTTTTATGTTTGTTTTCGGTTTTGATTGCAATGAATTAAAAAAGGCAACTATATATCCCTTGAAAAATCCTCCAAGTTACATACGTAGCAGCAATCCCTGTACAGAACTGCAATTTAGAGGTCTTGTAAGAGCTGCACAAGACATTTTTCTGGACATTCAGTTGTGTATTACTACAGGCTAAAAATAAAAAACGTCAAACACCCGCACAACATGATTAAGTTTGTTCTTTAGTTGTCTGGAAGAGCTGGACACCAACAAATACCCACTACCACAGAGCAACCCATATCCATGTCAGTTGCATTAATTTTGTAAGCACTTTGTAGCAACGCGTTTATTAACCTCTTCACACCACGTTCTGTATGCTGTAAAAAAAGAATTCAGAGGTGAAAGGGAACAAAGATAATTATTTATTCTGCTATGTGTCACCACTTCCACTTGAATCCCTTTTCAAGGCTTTAAAGCTTTGAAATTTACAGGCAGCAATGCTAGATTCAATTATTGGTTTTGCACCCTAAACCCTTTAAGTTAGCTTCTAATTTTACTCCAGTGCTGTCAGCCCTGAGGAAATAATGACATCTGGAAGTTCATTTAAAAATAACCAAAAAAAAAGACAAAAGAGAAAAAAATAAAAAGGAAAGGCAACAAAAATTTAAAAGGAGATACAAGCCAGTTGGAAAGCAACACAACTGCAAAGGAAAATTTTCAGGAAGCCAATTTACTTCAGCTGAAAGATTTGTCCTTAATAACCATGATGCGCGTGAATACAAATAAAACTGTCACCACCCAGATTTAACTTCATGATCCAGCAGACACGTCCCGTGCTAGTGGCAGCGAATTCTGTTTTGGGCAAGACCGCAGTACTGCCAAACAGCAACGCATCTCCTGTTTAATCACTCGAGTGGCAAACAGCTGGAGAGCTGCGAGGGCAGAGGTTTTCTGTCACTGCCAAGCCGTAGATGTCCACCATGCTCTGAGGCCCCACAAACATGAACTAAGAGGGAAGGATGCCCTCCCTGAGCTCACTCCCCTTCCACCCCATCGCTGGAAAACAATTCCTGTCCACCTTTCACGGTTCCAGCTGCAGCTGTTTCGCATGAAGATTTAAGGTTAGGAATGAACGAGTTTAAGTGTTGCTTCCTTTTGCAAATACCCCCACCTACACTACCCAGGATAAAGGGTAGAGCAGAGTATAGCATAGCAGACAGACTTTTTTCAAGTATCTGTTTTCCAGTCCTCATTAAATACCACCCAGACTCCACCAGCACCAAAACTCTCCACTGATTTTTCTACATTATTACAGCAGCCCCTGTTATGGATTAGTGTAACTGTGTATTCGTTCCTTTGCCTCCAGTGTTTTGGGTAAACCCTAAAATGAAAGATTTTTGAAGACTGATCCTATCAATATACCTCATCCAAATTTGAAATATACTTAAAAAAACCACTGGGGACTAGTAGGGCAGCACAGCCAGGATTCAAGCCCCACTATTTCTGTACTAAGCCAATGTGATCATAACCCACGCTGTCTAGTTTTGCCGACAGCCAAAACCAGTCCTGGAAAGACTCATACTGGTAATGCCTCCCCATGCTACTTGGAGCAAGAGTGCACAGCAGCATACTTGCCTCTTTTTCCCCTGTTTCCTACTGCAACACCAACAGAACTGAACAAGCTAAAGATGATTCCTACTCCAGTCTTAAAAGGCTCCTCTGCACTAGAAGCGCTTCAGGGTAGGAGTCGGGGCTGGGGGGAGAAGGGAATCTCACCGCTGCTAACAAGAGTTCAGCCAAACAAGAGTTTAAGAGTTGGGAGCGCCGGGGCAGGCTGCTTGCTGGCTATAGATCTTTTCAGTAGCACCATGTAATCCCGCAGCCGGCAGACAATACTGGGAATGGTATTAGCAGCTCACAGGCTGTTTCTGCTGGGCTTTGGTCCTGACAAGCTGAACCAGACAGAGAAGCACACGGCACTCTGCAAAAAGCTTCCCCAGCAAAGGCCAAAGGCTCTTCTCTCACAAACCTGGCTTGATAGTACACGGTTTTCTTGTATTAGCTGCCTCAAAACCCCCACACCATAACAATATCATGGTGCAAAAGTGGTTGTGATGGATAGTGCTACCCAAGCCTCATAACCAGAAAAACAAAGCAGACAAAAATCAGAGAAGTGGTAAAAATGCTGTAAGACGACTTTCACATATGCTGTATGGCATTACAATTTAAATGGACTGTACTTGCAGTCCCTGCTGCATAAGCAAAGGGGACTGGGATATTATCCAAAACATACTGCAGGACAGAATTTATACCCACGTGAAAATGACTATACGCTGCCAACAGCATGGAGAAACAGTCCCAGAAATCAAACACCAAACTGGACTGTGCTGGTGCTATACAGTGTAGCACAAATGTTTGCCTACTGGGGAGATGGGCAGACTGGAAGGAGAAAAGAAAAACTAAGAGCATACACTAAAAAGTGACTTTGCTTGAGCACATTTATGAGAGATAGCGGAACCAGGTCCCAACAGAAGGCAAATTTCAAGCAATTTGTGCCTTAGTTTCCATACATTGGAAAATAGTGCTGTTACCAAGCAGCTGAGCGCTCCTCCTCTTTTCCCCATTACTGGTCACTAACCTTCCCACAGCTGAGTAATAGTTCTGACTTACCAAAACAGCAACAGAATTTAAAGTTTCATATAGATATCTGAAATTTATTTTAAACTAGTATATAGCATTGTAAATATTCAAATTTCTAGTACAAGAGTATATGCAGATTATGTTTTTACTGGGATCACACACACACACCCCCCGAAAAAAAAAATCTTATAAGCAAAATCAGCTGCTGCTTTCAGGAAGCATTTTCATTCTGTCATCAGTTTATGAAAATGCCACAAAGTCACCTACAATTTTGGATGAGGTTCCCCTATCATGTTCACTTGTTTTTGTTTAACCACACAAAGCTATTTTCACATGTACTTTCACAGACATGTTTATTTCTCTGGCTACTAGAATCTAACATGTTCATTTAAGCAGTTTTTCAGCTAAGAGAAAGCCAATAAACATCCGAGAAAAAATAACAAAGTTGTAAGAATCTACATTTTAAACATAGTGGGGAGAAACCCTTCTATCCCCAAAATGCGTAGCTAACAGGTTTCCTTACAGGAAGGGAAGACTCTAGTTGAAATACTTGCCTTCAGATTACATTTTCTTGGGCTGCACAAAAGTGTGTGACTTGGTTGCATGTCTGATCTGCTTTTATGAAAAGCAGCAGCGGCATAGTCATGGCATAGGCCTTTTGCCAGGGGTGCAGCTGGAGGGGCTGCACAAGGCTGGGAAGCTTACCTGTCAGTGCTTTCAC